ATATAGTTATGCTACATATACTATGTTATATATGTTACTTATATTACTAATTTATCTTGGTTCATTGAAAAGAAAGGTTTGTACTAATACTGTTTGGACAATTAAATCTGATATTTTTGTTCTCTGTAACTAATGTAAAGACAACACTATACAACGTATTATCCATTGTTAACCCCTATTATCTTGTTTTGAAATTTGGTTTCATTTAAAGAAAAAGAAAAGAATAGAACATATTCTAATCCAAACATATTTTGTGTTACTCACAACATTTTAAAATTAAAATTATAAGCTATGAAACACTTCAAAGGACTTCTTTTTGCTTTGTCCCATTTCTGTGTCCCTCAGGTTCTCCTTGATGCTCTTGGGATTTTTTTTTTACTGCCGTTCGATTTTTACAGCTCCTCTCATTCAACAATCTTTTCTGTCTTGTGTCAACTGATTGAGTGGCTTTAACGCATCACAAGATTCAAACACAAGCCGTAAAGATGAAAGAAAAAATTTAGCTTGCTATTTCTATAGGAAGGTTTTAGGTTGAGTTTTAAAACACAGTATATTTGCATAGAAAAGTAAGCATATGTTATAGTCCAGACTTCAATCGGTAGAGAACAAAATCCTGAGCTTACTGTTCCAGAGGCTTTGGGAAAGAAGCTGTGATGGAGGGCTTTGAAAGAAATAGTGCAGCTGAGTGACCAGACGCCTGGAAGTCAGAAAACCTGAACTCTAGATTTGACTTCCAATTTGCCTTCTAAGTGCTCTGAGTTGAATGTGAAAATCAGGTGGCAGTAGATGACTTTTAAGATCCACCTGTCCAGGGCTTCTCAGCACATCACCACTGACATTTTTGGACTGACTACAGAATGGACAGGGGAAGCCAGGTTTTCCTGTGCATCATAGTGTTCTGGAAGCCAGTAGCGCCTACTCCTTGCTCCCTGCCTTCATGTGTATGACAACCAAAAAACCTCTCTAGGGATTGCCTAATGTCCCAATGTCCCCAGACATTGCTAAAATCCCTTCCAGTGGCAAATCATGGCCTTACAGCTTAATGCCATGACAATTATTATATTTTATTTACACACACACACACACACACACACACACACACATACACACACACACGCACGCACATTGTTCCAGGTAATGGAATCTCTCGGGGTTTTTTCAACAGCACCTAACTCATCTTATACGTTCTCCAGGTTCTGCATTGCCCTAATTACAAATATAAGAACCAGTTTGTATACGGGCTACACTAAGACAAGCTGAAAAGTTGACCTCTAAACAGCGATGAAATAGATCACTCATTAAAAATATGTGACAAAGTTTTCTCATTAAAAACAGAAGCCATGAGTGGCAAGGAAAGACTGCAATATATTTTACACTAATCAAATCATAATAGTGACCTGTTAAGAAGAATTGAGATCAACCTTTTTTGGATTTCACATTTTCATCATTAAAATAAGCAAAACCCAAATATAAACAAGCTAACAAATGTCCTGATACACATATTATATTTATGTGAAGAGCTGTGAAATCACAACACATGTATTATCTTTTTCTAGTAAGAATTTTTTTTAAAGTACAGATATAGTTGTTTCTCCAACCAGGCAAATAACTTCCTGCCTTTAAAAAAAAAATGCTTTCCTACTTTGAATTCTATTGCTTCGTCTTTCATAGTCATGTGTTTAACACAACAAACTTACCCATCTGTGTATCTTGTGATGGACATTTTTTCAGAACTTTTTAACAGAATGGTGGGAAGGTACATTGTAAAAGTCAGAGAAACTAGTAAGATCCAGTGAGTTAAAACCTTAGGCACCATCCACAGAATCAACACATCCATCTCAGTATTCTCTCTTCTACCATTTAAGGGAAAGCACAGTAAAGTTACTAGAAAGTAATTACAGTGAAAGATTTCTCACTTACTAATAGATCCCACCCCCCATGTTTTCACAGTCACTCTCCTTCCAACTAACATATGTAGTTTGGGGGAGGGGTTAGCCTAGTAACCCTTTTTGTTGTATATTCTTCAATTCCCTAAGAATAGAGGGCAATGCATTCTGGGAACAGCTTGTCACTCACAGCCTATGACTTAGTGTAGCTACAGAAAGATCGCTTTGTATGACTTGGATTTTTTATTTATCTTAATTGACCTTTTATAGTATCTCATGTGGCTTCACTTCCTAAGTTTTGTCTCTTTTTTTGTTTTGTTTTCTCTTCTTTTATCTTCATCTCTTTATTTCCTTGTTTCGTATCTCAGTTTCCCAAATTTGCCACATATTATGCGTTTATCTTGAGAATGAGAGTTTAGTTCTTCGGATTTTCTTGCTTAATCTCAGTCCAATGTCTTTTCATTTTAGATTATGTTTTTATTTCACCCTGATCCTTCTCATAATTTAACTGTGTTAAATACACTCTCTACTTCCAATGTCATTTTGAGACAACTGCAAAAATGTTCTCTAAAGTTGTCCTGAAATAAATTCCCAAAGGTATTTGTTACATCTTCAATTCTTTACTAATTTTCTTTTTTAACTTAGCCTACTTTCACAAGAATAATATATATTTAGATTTTATTTCCTTCTAGTAGATTGAAAATAATGCAGCAACTAAAATTTAACAAAGCTTTGAAATAAGGTGAACATAGGGATTAGTTAGAGGAAATGTAACTGCAAACGGCTGGGAAAACCCTCTCCTCCTAAAATAATATTTATTTTACTAACAGATTCTAGAACCTAACCAGGAAGTTTAATTGATGTAAGATATTTTAAGATGCGGACAGCACTGGTCCCGTCCATTTGAGATAACTGTAGATTATGAGCTGTCGCCTTTTCTCATGAATTAACCTATTGAGTCCCTGTCCTAGAGCAGACTTGAGAAATAGGAGGACACCTAGTTTGTGCAGAAACTGTAAAGGAGCCAGTGTAAAAAGATACATCTAATCAAATAAAAGCTTGTGGACCTGCAAGGCCAACATTGTACCTCAGAGCGCGCCTGCGGTTCATCTCAACAAAGGCATTCCAATTCTTTCAAAAGTTCAAAAGTGATCATTTTAGCAATTCAGAACTTTTTTTCCAGTCTTTTGTGTTTAATTAAGTTTATTGATACAATGTAGATATGCATAGTGATCACATTCCTCCTAGGGAGCTTGTACCTGTACATGATGGATCTTAGTTCCCCCTTTCTTCTGTTCCTTGCCCTCTTCGATCGCTCTTCCACTCGTTATGTACAAAGCTTTGCTTCTGATTTATCTTTTTTCCCTCGTTTTTTCTTTTCCCCTTCACCCCCAACCCCTCACCAGTTCATTTCCTTTTATTTTTTATTTATTTGTATTTTAGGGAAGGGCCTATAGGATGTTCAGAGACTCACTACTAGATCAGACCCGTAATGATCCACCTATTTAGAGCCTCCAAAGAGCTAGGATTACAGGAGTGTGCCACCACGCCCAGTCTCAATCCCAGTCTCAGTGCACCCCAGGGGCAGAGCCGGCACTGCAGGCCCGGGAATCAAACTCCCGGCCCCTGTACCTGCTTGCAGGAACTTTAATCCGCTGAGCTATTTGGCTGGCCCTTCCTTTCCTTTTAACAATTATTTCCATCTCACGATACACTATTCCCTTGCTGTTTTGCTGTTTGTGGACTCACTAGTTCGCGGGTTTTCAAAAAATATTGATCTAAGTTATTTACTGCAGATTTTTTGCTATATCGCCGGCTTTTGTAGTACCATACAGTGTAGGTATGTTATTAAGATCATGTAGGTTTACAAGCTTAGAAAATGGTTAAGAACATTAGATGTGTTTTTAAAAATGTGGGAAAGGTTTGTAAGAGTGTGATTTATGGAACCTTTATATATATATAGCAAATATATATTTTTGCTACTTCGCTGATTTTCACCTATAGCAGGGGTGTCTGGAATGTAACCTACATGACAAATGAGGAACCACTATACGTATTATACATTTTGGTTCTTTTTTACACTTTAAGTTTCTCCTACCAGGGAAATAATACAGTATCTGCCCATATGTGTCCCATTTATTTTACTTAAGAGTGTGGTCTCAAGGTGCATCCATTTAGCTATAAACGTTCAAGTTTATCCTTCTATATGGCTGAGTAGTACTCCATTGTATTTTTTTTAAGCACATCTTTTTTAACAGTTCATCAGTTAATGGACATTGGTGTTATTTCCAAGATTTAGTTATTACAAACTGTGCTGCTTCAAACATGGGTGCACATCTGTCACTGGGGTGTGATTTAGCAATTCTGACATGAGTTAGCCCTTCTAGAAAGAGCTCTGAGAATAGAGGAAAGTGATAATTCTGCTTTTTCCCCCCTATTTACATTAAAAATTAAGAGTAAAAAGGTAAGATAAATAATTCTGGTTGTCCAATTTATTCTTCCACAGATTCTGTAAATTTGTCAAGTATTAATCAGGTACTCAAGTTGAAATATGACCAATATAGGTATTTTCCAAGATAAGAAATTAAGGTTCACAGCATAACTATTCTATTAATGTTTTAGTGCCTCTTGCTGCCCTGCTGTATTGAACGTAGTTCTTGGTTTCTATAAAAGTCATGGAACCATGTTTCATGGATATTCATTCTCTAAACTTAATAAACTTCAACAGAACAAACTGAGATCTGGCATTTTGTAGAATTAGCCAAATTGGTTTTTTAATGTATCTCTGAGGAACAGAGTCATGCACATAAATTTTGGCAATGTGTGAGCAGCATAACTTGAAATACCGAGTACCTACTTTTGAGGAAAACTTTAGTACCATAAAACCAAGAAATCCTCTCAGCAGGCTGCGTCTCCTTTATCGCTTAGCCTTTATTTCCATTAATTTTATAGGCGAGGGTAGAGGAGATTGTACTCTGTGCTTGGGTGTGTGAAAACGTGATAGAAGCCCCTGTCTGTCTCATTTCTGTAGATTCTTTATAGACTGAAAGAGAGACTCCAGCTTTCCTTAAGACAAGATAAGGAGAAAAACCAGGAGATCCACCTGTCCCCCATCCTCCTGCAGCCGGCACAGTCTGAGGCCAAGACAGGGCGCAGCATGGTTCAGCCTGACCAAGGGCCGAAGGTGCTGAGTGTCGTTGTGGACCCGCAAGGCCGATGCACCCCTGAGGTCAAAGCTACTGCCTCTACCTCGGTCTGTCCTTCTCCTTTCAAAATGAAGCCTGTAGGACTTCAGGAGAGGTAAGAGTGTTTCTTGTTTCCACCTACAACTTGCTTTCCATTTAAAGAGTATTCATCAGTTGCAAAGGATGGAACTGGAAATGATTGGCATACCTGAGTAGAACTGTTCACCAGCAGATGGACCCCAGCCACTAACAGTGTTTCTAAAAGTGTCTCTTAGAGGTTTAAGTACAGCCAATTCCGTTAAGCTGGCATAGACCTAAGCAATGTGCAACTAGGGGACAATTTCTATCACTATTTATTATTTATTGAGAGTCACTAGCTGTTTGGACACCACATTATATTTTTAATTATCCTCAAACTCTGGTGTAATAGGACCGGGGATGAATTGAGCATGCTTCCTGCTGAAGTCCACATTATTTGAAGTCATACAAGGGTCTGCATCACCAATTAATTTTATGTAAATTTTTCTGTTTCTTTTGATCACTGAAACATTAAGTGTTGAAATATATGACAGTTTTATTACCTTTTGTTTTCCTGTTCTTTTTTTTTTTTTTTTGTTTTTTTTTTTTTTTTGGATGGAACTGGAGATTGAACTCAGGCCCTTGCACTTGCCAGAGAAGTGCTCATTCCACTGAGCCATCTCCCCGATCCCTGACAGTTTCATTACCTTATCTGCCTCTCAGATATACTTATTCATGTGATAGGCTTTGTGCTGATAAATTTCCACTTAAATCAAGTCCAATGTAAGAAATACAAATTTTTGATGAGAGGGCTAATTCTTTGCTTCCCAAAAAATGAGAAATAAAACTTTTCACGGTCTTTCTTAAAATAAGTTTTGTTTTTATATTTAAACTATTGCTACCAGGCATGGTGATTCACACCTGTAATCCTAGCACTTGAGAGGCTGAGGCAGGAAGATCTCCATGAGTTTAGGGCCAACCTACACTACATGATGAGACCCTGCCTCAAGAAAAAAAAAAAAAAAATACTGCTTACAGTACATTATACACATGGTACTATAGTGATTAAATAGGCTTTGAGGTACATACTCTATTTTCTCTATGTCTCTATTTCCTATCATTGTTTGATTGGGTTTATAGATCACATAAATGCATTTGGATTGTATTTCCAATGATTTATCACAATGCTTAATAGAAAAGGCCATATGATTTGATGCTTCAAGAATTGCGAAGGACAAAAATTGTTGAAATTTTTGCCAGAAACAATGAAGGATGTGAAAAGAAAGGTCGGTTCCCATGATCTCTAAAAGCCCTTATTGGGCAAATACTGCAACGTGACATTACACAAGAGGAAAATAAAACCACCAAAATCATTCCCCCTGCCTCCTCCCCAAGCGCTTGGTGGCTTCCTAAAGTATCCTCATGGACCTCTACATGGTATTCCTTTTTCTTGCATACCATGAAGTCACTCCTGTGATTCAGTGTTAATAGAGAGGCAAGATAAACCTTTTCCTAGGCTAACTGGGCGTCACGAGAACCCGGCTTGAGTGTGCTCTGCCTTCCTGTACCGATGCCTTCCCAGGAAAAAACAAGTCGCTCATCTAATCTACTCCTTTCTCCTAAAAATGGAGGGATGAATGGAGTTCTTAACTTCTTTTGGATGCCTTTATTCTCAGGAATTTATTTTTGCTTCAAAGAGAAACCTTGAGGGAATCACCTCAGTGGAGAACCAAGGGCAGGGTAGCAGGAAGGGTCTTCACAGAGGCACGTAAGCGTGGATGTGTTAGCTATGGAACATCGCAAGATTATAATAAACTGACTAAAAGTCAGACTATTTGTGATTATTGCTGTGTCCCTCCAATTCCCAGCAAGGTCAGCCTAAAGTTGCCAAGGAGAATAGTTATTCCTGGCATTCTGCAGGCCACTGTCAGGTCTGGCTAAATTTCAAAGAGCACAAGGTTAAATATCAAAGTGCTCGCTTAACTAAAGTGAGTATTTGAGGAGGGAGAACACAGGGCTGCTGTTTCATTCATCTTTGTCATTCACGTGCGGACCGTAATGGGGCCAGTACCTAATCGGCGTTTAAGGGCCTCAGCTCTGATGACCCCCGCTGTAGAGGTCTGGCCCTGTGTTCCCGCTCTGAGCTGGATATCCCCACGATAGCTCTTAGATATAGCCAATTTAAAATAGTACAAAAAGGGCCTGCCAAATAGCTCAGCAGATTAAAGCATCTGCTTAGACGCAGGGGTTGGGAGTTCCATCCCCAGGCCTGTTGTGGGGCCCCACCGCGTGCTGAGATGGCAATTGAGACTGGGCGTGGTGGCGCACACCTATAATCCCAGCTCTTGGGAGACTATAAACAGGCAGATCACTACGACTCCAGTCTACCCTGTGAGATCCCGTACACCCTTTAAACCCTGTCCTAAATACAAAATCAATCAATCAGTACAAAATGACCCTCAAAATATCGCTCATCAAATCATTTCACTTTTTTTTACTCTGATTCTGTTTCTTCATTCTCCTTTTTGACTGAGTCAAACATGGTGAAGGCCTGGCGTTTTTGCCCCAGCGCTGCCTTCTGCCCAACTGCAGTCCCACTGAGAGCTCCAGCTCTCTCGCTTCCCCTAGTCAGCCTCCCACGATCCTTCCGCTCCGTTTTCATTCCCACCCCACCCTGCAGACCTCTCAAACACAGCTTTTCCACGTTACATTTCCTTGTCATTCTCTTTTAAGATCCCTCCGTGTTTCCACATTGCTTTCTGAAAGTAACTGACGTAGCGGTGTCTCGGTTCACGAACACTTTCCCTTGCGAGCAGTATGGTCTGCAAACAGCAGCACCCAGCGGATTTTCGCTTTTGTTTACAAACTCTGCGTGGGGTGAGGAATGCAGTCACAGACACCCCACCCTTCTATTATGAACATGACCGCCTTTTCCAGAATCACGGAACAATTCAGTTCACAAACTGAGGTACCGCTGTAATTTCTATGTGTGACGTGTGAAACCTTCGCTGGCGTCTCCCTCCCTCCATCTCCCCCTAAGCACCCACCTACAGCTCTCCTGCTACTTGGACACTTTTCTAGGTTGATGCCGTGCTTTTTAAAACCTAGGAAGCCGTCCTTACCTAGAACTTGTCTTTCTTTTCTCTACTCTTATTTACCCTGGAGAAATACCACCACAGGAGTGAGCCTGAATCTGGATTTACAAATTAAGAAAACAAGAAATACAGTTAAACCCTGCAGGCCCCGCCCCTGGGGCGTGCTGAACAGGTGGTGCGTGCCTGTAATCCCAGGGCTGGGGAGGCTGAAACAGGAGGATCACTATGAGTCCAAGCTGCCCAGGGAAACCCTGTACCAAATACATAAATGAAAGAGAGAGAGAGAGAGAGAGAGAGA